GTCCCCTATCATATGCCTTTTCAGAACTCATAAATACAATGAAAACCTCTACCCTTATCTAAATACATTTCACCTATGTGTTTCACTATAAACACTTGGGCTGCACATCCCCTACCCTTCCTAAAGCCTTCTAGTTCATCTGTGATCCTGCTCTGTCTTACGCTTAATTCTTTCAGTAATAACTGCCATAGACTTTACCAAGCATACTCAACAGGCTTATTCCCCTATAATTTTTCCCCACACTTTTGTCCCCTTTGCCTTTAACCCTTTCAGGGTCGAGAGGCCATCTCATAAATTTGTTCTCAGGGTTGAAAATTTTTCAGAATTTTTTTTTTCTTATGAAATGACGGAGAATCTTTTCCCGATCATAATGACACCAAAAGTATGAAATTTGATGGAAAACTTATGGAATTATGCTCTCGCGAAGTTAGTGGTCTTTACAATGTTTACGCATCGGCGATTTCGCCCACTTTGAGCCCTATTTCCGGCCAATTTCAGTGTGCTAGTTGACAAAAATCATATCTATTTCACTAGAACTCCATTTTTTCTATTGAATGAGTACAAGAAACCACCCATTTACCGATTTCAACTATCCAATAAAGTGGTCAGAAATTGGCAATTTTGCCAATTTCACACAAATTTCAGAAGATGCCAATTTCCAAATAGGGTCCAGAATAAGCAAGACAGACATTACTGGCACTAAAATAACATTTTCTCTGTTCATTAGTCATGTCCCCAGGCCCCTCTTGAATCTCTTTTGCTTTCCACTTTGAATTTTTATTCTCACAAAAAAGAAAAGATTTACTGTTATGCAGACTACTGCATTAATGTAGAAATGTTATAAATAATATCAGTGCACTTGTGGAAGAATATTAGGCTCGCCAGTTGACGTATATTGGACGCTTGGCATGATTTGTTTACTTTTGAAATTTGGTAAAAATTGAATATTTCTGCTACTTTGAGCTCAATTTCAAGGTACTTTTCATTATGAAACCAATCAAAATTATCTCAATTTCTGTAATATGTCTTCCATTCTATAAAATGAGACCAGGAAAACTAGAATACAACCATAAATACCATACGAAAATACACTGCAAAGTCGCTGTTTTAAACCAAAAACACGGTCGGAGTTTTTTTTTTTTCTCATTATGCACTGTGTGCTGCAGGATTTTTTTTATACTGTGCACACTGATCACATAGACCCATTCTTTCATATGTAGGCCTACCAGCTTTCTCTCGCTAGATTTGAAGGCACTAGAATTTAGACGTTCTAGTACGTCGATAGCCCTGGTGCATAAGCTCTACTAGTGTGTTGGAAACCCTGAAAGGGTTAAACAAAAGAACTATGCATGCTCTCTGCCACTCCATAGGTACCTTCCCCTCTTCCATACATTTATTAAATAAAACAACAACCCTTCTAAAACTATATCCCCACCTGCTTTTAATATTTCTGTCTTCGTCCCATTCTACCCATTTCATTCTACCCATTGCCTCGTGCACCTTCCCTACACTCACAACTGGCTCTTCCTCGCTCCTACAAGATTCACGAAATCACTGCTTCCCTATCTTCATTTAGCAGTTCCTCAAAATGTTTCCTCCATCTTCCCGATATTTCCAACTCTCCATCTAATAACTCTCCTCTTCTATTTTTAACTGTCAAATCCATTTGTTTCCTAGGCTTTCTTAACTTTTCTTATTCTCACCCAAGTTTGTTGAGAGCATCTCACCCACTCGTTTACTTTCCTTTTACATTCCTTCACCACTCTCTTAACCACTCTTTTTCTCTCCATATACTCCTCCCTCCTTGCATCACTTCTACTTTGTAAAAACCTCTCATATGCTAACTTTTTCTCTCTTACTGCTCTTTCTCTCTTTTTTTTTTTTTATACAGGGTTTGACAAGGTTAAGGATCCCTAGCTTTATTGACAAGCTATTTACAGGTTAAAGATTCCTAACTTTATTGGCAAGCTAAGAGCTGTTACCTACATCAGCTCATTTGAAAGCATTTTTATTGTTATGAGACATACAAGTAGGGAACAGGATGAAGATGGAGCCATCTGTGGGCCAGCATTTTCATTTGATCAACTGACTTTATCTCGTTGACATCATTATGCTGTACGAATGTGTTCCATACTCGGGTCATCCTGGGTATGTATGATCTCAGATGGAGTGATGTTCTGGAGAAGGGTACAGCCAGGGTGAAGTTGCTGCTTTCTGCCCGTTTTGTGGCATAAAAGTTTTGTTTCACGCTGGCCTCGAAGTGGATCCAAGTGTGGTATTTTGACAAAAATTGGCCTTGTACATAACAAAAAGGCCACCCACATCCCTCCTATTTGAAGCTCTGCTGAAATGACAGATCTATCCAGGAGGGGTCCAGGCGAGAGATGAGAACGTCTTGCTCTGTTCTCTACTCTGTCAAGCAGTCGCAGATGAGAGGGGGGGCAGGCAAACCAAGAAAGTGGAGCATACTCAAGGTGTGAGTGTACTTGTGCCTCGTACAGGATCTTGCAACCCCTACTGTAAAGGGCAGATGGGAGGATACGGCGAAGTGCTGTAAGCTTCCTGGCTGCCTTGTTTGCAAGATTTACAACTGGTTCTTCATGGTTATTTTGGAGTCAAATTTCACCCCAAGGATATCATCATCTTCTCCAGGTGCCAACATCCTCCCATTCATCCTTACTACTGCACCAGCATTACCATCATGGTGCCTAGAGACGATCATCATTTGCGTTTTCTCAGGTGCAAATGTTACTTGCCATCTATTTCCCCAAGCTGATATAGCTCTCAGCTGGTGATTGATGTAGCTTAGAGCAGCTGGCATTTCTTCTCTTGGATAAGTGAATGTCAGTGTACAGTCGTCTGCATATGCATGTGATTCTGGGATGAGATGAAGAAGGTCGTTGAAGTAGACATTCCATAACAATGGACCCAGCACGCTTCCTTGGGGAACACTTGCCCCAATAGGATGTCTTGCTGATTCCATTCCATTGAGAACTACACTTAGAGATGTACCATGAAGGTAGTCACTGAGGAGACATAGCGTAGAGCCTGCAATTCCCAGTGCTTGAAGTTTTACTAAGAGGCCCTGGTGCTACACCCGGTCGAAAGCGCCAGCAATGTCCAGTGCTAACCCCACAGCTGACTTTGGATTCATCCAGTGACTGGTGCCACTTAGTGGAGAGGTTTAACAACAGATCAGCAGCAGAGTAACCTTTCCTGAAGCCATGTTGACGATCACAAAGTAGTGAGTGGTAGTCAAAAAACTGTCATTTGTCTTGAGATTATTGTCTCAAGGATCTTTTCCAGTGATTTACAGGAGTGACACTGGCTGTATTGCTGATTTCTGCTCTGCTCTTCTTTTTGTGAACAGGGACTACATTAGCCTCTTTCCATAGAGAGGGCCATTTACACTGTTACTGGGCAGTGCTGAAAGTGCGAAATTAGAGGTGCTGCAGCTGGTCTGCACATCTTCTCAACAATCTTGGCTCAACTTGTCTGGGCCCACAGCCTTTTCTTGGTCAAGTGATTTAAGTAGGGGGGAAAAGCACCTCCTCCTGCCTTATTGTCACCACTGACAGTTTTTGACACAGTTCTTACAGCTAGCCAAGGAGGGTCCCTTGGGGATCAGGAACTTGCATTTTGGTAGCAAAGTGTTCAGCAAAGAGGTCCGCCTTCTTTTGACTACTAGTAGAGGTGGTCCCATCCTGTCGATTTAGAGGTGGAATAAGTTCATCAGGCAGATAACCTTGTCTGTCCTTGACCAGGGACCACCAGGTTTTGGAGCCTACCCTACCTGATGCTACTTTTTTTTATGTCCACCTCCCATTTAGCAGTGGCCCACTTTTGAACATCACCCATATGCCTACAGGCTTGCATGTGCAAGTCCCTGTTATAGGGGGTTTAGGATGTCTCTATACCTTCGCCATGCTTTGTACTTAGCAGTAGCAGCCTCTCTACAATGAAAGCCAAACCAAGGCTGATCTGTAGGCTTCGTCACATATTGCCGGTGAGAATGGTTCTTGTTGTAGATTAAGGATGTGTCCGTGAAGGCTTTTACTTGGTTGTCAACATCCCCTTGGGGAAAGCATTCCAGTCAGTGGTGGCGAGCTCAGAGCAAAGGGTTGGGCCCAAATTTCCTCTCCCATAGCCAGGTTGTGCGTGTTTGGGCTCCCACCTCATTCTGTTGGGATCTTAAGTGTAGTAAAAACAGCCTTGTGGTCAGAAAGATCCAACGTAAACCGAGGGGTTGACAAGTGACTATGCCTTCTGCCAGATCACTCACTACTGGGTCAAGGGAGGAGCCAGAGATATGAGTAGGGAAATCAACAAAGTTTCTCATGTCAAATACTGCAAGAAGGTCATCAAAGTCCCTCTGTATAAGGTACTGGTTGAGGTCACCAACAATTATAATATGTTGACAGTTGTGTTGTAGCAGAAGGGAGTCAATATTTTCCATTAGGAAGTTGATAGGGTCTGCATGTTGCCACTGAGGTCTGTACATTGCACATGCTAGTACAGAGGTACTAGTGTTTATACAGAGCTTGAAGAACATCATTTCAAGATGTGTAGGGGTGGCAACATCAATGTGCTGGGCATGAACACTTTTAGAGAAGCACACAGCAACACCTCCTCCTTGCCCTTGCCTGTCTCTCCTTTCTCTCTCTCCTTTCTCTCTCTCCTTTCTCTCTCTCCTTTCTCTCTCCTTTCTCTCTCTCCTTTCTCTCTCTCCTTTCTCTCTCTCCTTTCTCTCTCTCCTTTCTCTCTCTCCTTTCTCCCCTTTCTCTCTTCTTTCTCTCTTTTCTCTCCCTCTCATATATCATTCCACCATTTGTTCCTCCCTCTCACACCCACTCTCCTGTAACCACACTTCTGCTGAACACTAACTATACTGTATTCTTAAATATGTAATTTTTTGTTGTTGTTTTTGGTAACCCATACATAAACCATTATTTTTTGTTCTTCCTTGTTTGCCATATTACATTGCAAATATCTTTACTCACTATAAAACAATCCTAATTTATGTGGTACTTTTCAGACATGCAGAGCGAAGGAACGTACCACTTGAAGATATTGGTGCCAAGTGTTGCAGCTGGTGCCATTATTGGTAAAGGTGGTGAAACCATTGCTCAACTTCAGAAGGATACCAGTGCACGAGTCAAGATGTCCAAGGCCAATGACTTTTATCCAGGTATAATACAATAAAAAACTGATTGATAATTAAAATGTGATTTGTATACCTGTTTAATACTGTTCTTTTTATGGCAGCATTAAGTTTTTTCCATGAAGATTTTTCTGTACATCTGGTATCAAAATAAATATACAGTAGGGCCCCACTTATATGGCAGGTTAGGTTCCAGGCTACCGCCGTAAAGCGGAAATTGCCGTAAAGTGGAACACTTTTTTTTCCAACTTGTAAATGCATACAAATACTAGATAACAAGTTTACACTAACATATATTAAGTTAGCAATAGAACTAGGCTTAATATTAAAAAGCAATAAAAAAGTAAAATACACATACAGTGCATTCATTACTTAAAATATTTGTAGTCTTAATCAAGGGTGAGACAAGTAGTATTTATTGTATGAAATCAAGTGTGGTATGTATGGTAGTCAGCCAGGCTACCATACCAGGCCACCCTACCCACATATAATATTCTATGGCATTTAAGCATCCCAGAGCGATAAAATGCGTATACAGTTCACTCATTGCTTACCTTAAAATATTTGTAGTCTTAATCTAGGGTGAGATGAGTAGTATTTATTGTAAGAAAAGTGTGGTATGTATGGTAGCCAGCCAGGCCACCCCACCGACACATGATATTCTATGATATTTAAGCATCCCAGAGTGATAAAATACACATACAGCTCACTCATTACTTGCCTTAAAATATTTGTAGTCTTAATGTAGGGTCAGGAGTGAGTAAACAAGATAAAACAAATAAAAGAGAGAGAGAGAGAATGAGTACATGAGAGAGGACAGGCACAAAGTTATGTAAACAAACCAGGCTGCAGTGGGCTGCAGAAAACAATATGAAGTTCAACGATGAGAAATTTCAATTACTCAGATATGGTAAACACGAGGAAATTAAATCTTCATCAGAGTACAAAACAAATTCTGGCCACAAAATAGAGCGAAACACCAACGTCAAAGACCTGGGAGTGATCATGTCGGAGGATCTCACCTTCAAGGACCATAACATTGTATCAATCGCATCTGCTAGAAAAATGACAGGATGGATAATGAGAGCCTTCAAAACTAGGGATGCCATGCCCATGATGACACTCTTCAGGTCACTTGTTCTATCTAGGCTGGAATATTGCTGCACACTAACTAACAGCACCTTTCAAGGCAGGTGAAATTGCTGACCTAGAAAATGTACAGAGAACCTTCACGGCGTGCATAACGGAGATAAAATGCCTCAATTACTGGGAGCGCTTGAGGTTCCTGAACCTGTATTCCCTGGAACGCAGGCGGGAGAGATACACGATTATATACACCTGGAAAATCCTAGAGGGACTAGTACCGAACTTGCACACGAAAATCACTCACTACGAAAGCAAAAGACTTGGCAGACGATGCAACATCCCCCCTATGAAAAGCAGGGGTGTCACTAGCACGTTAAGAGACCATACAATAAGTGTCAGGGGCCCGAGACTGTTCAACTGCCTCCCAGCATACATAAGGGGGATTACCAACAGACCCCTGGCAGTCTTCAAGCTGGCACTGGACAAGCACCTAAAGTCAGTTCCTGACCAGCCGGGCTGTGGCTCGTACATTGGTTTGCGTGCAGCCAGCAGCAACAGCCTGTTTGATCAGGCTCTGATCCACCAGGAGGCCTGGTCACAGACCGGGCCGCGGGGGCGTTGACCCCCGGATCTCTCTCCAGCTCTCCAGGCGAACACCAGTTTTGTAAACAAGCCAGGCATACATGTCTGGTTTGTGTACAAGTTGTCTCTACATTGATATGATAGATTAAATAAAGAGGAACACTCCCATTCTCATGTAACACTATTTTTAGAAGAAATGACGCTCTGAGTGAAGGCAATGGAAATAAGTCACTCTGACCTTTTTTTGGGTTATCCTAGGTACTTGACACATATACTGCTGTGTGTGATAATCTCTGTAACAGCCCGGCTGGTCAGGAACCGACTTTAGGTGCTTGTCCAGTGCCAGCTTGAAGACTGCCAGGGGTCTGTTTGTAATCCCCCTTATGTATGCTGGGAGGGAGTTGAACAGTCTCGGGCCCCTGACACTTATTGTATGGTCTCTTAACGTGCTAGTGACACCCCTGCTTTTCATTGAGGGGATGTTGCATCGTCTGCCAAGTCTTTTGCTTTCGTAGTGAGTGATATTCGTGTGCAAGTTCGGTACTAGTCCCTCTAGGATTTTCCAGGTGTATATAATCATGTATCTCTCCCGCCTGCGTTCCAGGGAATACAGGTTCAGGAACCTCAAGCGCTACCAGTAATTGAGGTGTTTTATCTCCGTTATGCGTGCCGTGAAGGTTCTCTGTACATTTTCTAGGTCAGCAATTTCACCTGCCTTGAAAGGTGCTGTTAGTGTGCAGCAATATTCCAGCCTAGATAGAACAAGTGACCTGAAGAGTGTCATCATGGGCTTGGCATCCCTAGTTTTGAAGGTTCTCATTATCCATCCTGTCATTTTTCTAGCAGATGCAATTGATACAATGTTATGGTCCTTGAAGGTGAGATCCTCTGACATGATCACTCCCAGGTCTTTGACGTTGGTGTTTCGCTCTATTTTGTGGCCAGAATTTGTTTTGTACTCTGATGAAGATTTAATTTCCTCGTGTTTGCCATATCTGAGTAATTGAAATTTCTCATCGTTAAACTTCATATTGTTTTCTGCAGCCCACTAAAAGATTTGGTTGATGTCCGCCTGGAGCCTTGCAGTGTCTGGATTAATGAAAATGTGTATATTAAAGTAATATACAACATTTAATGAGACTTGGTGATTATTGTTATTATCATCATTATTTCTAATATGGCGTCACTCGTACAAGTCGTCTGGCTACCACATCTCATATTTGTTTATTTATTCTACTGTGGGGTGTATTTATCATCTTTATACGTTATGTATCTTGTTTATTATGTAATTTTGAAAAAATATCATGGTGGATTAATGAAAATGTGTATATTAACGTAACGTACGACATTTAATGACTCGGTGATTATTATCATCATTACAAATATGGCGTCTGGAGACATAAGACACTCTTACTGATTTTAATGTGTACCTGCATGCCAGCACAGTGTTTAAGTTTATTTAGGTACAGGTATACATAAGTATAATTATCAGAGTATGTATAAAATATGAAATAACTTTTAAAAACACTTGAAATTTTTGGAGTTTCTAGACGTAATGGAGAGATGTACTGCTTATGGATCTCACGTAGAATGTAAACAAATCGGGTGGGGCGTTGTGACAGTATTAGAAAGCCAGGTGGGGGGAGCTGTATAGAGAGTTTTGGTTATAATTTGAAATGACCGTATTAGTGAAACGCCGTAAAGCGGGGCCCTACTGTACGGTAAAACATAGTACTCTCTAATGTTCGACCCAAATGTTGACAAATGAAGCATTGTACTGGTAGAGTTCAAGTTTACTTGCCTTAAAATGTGCTTTGGTCAGTCTAGCAGGGTTTGATAGTGCACATAAATTACGGTATGCATGGAATTGTGTTCCTGGACACCTCATGACTGTCATTTCTTGAATTTTGTGTGAAATTGGCCAAATTACCAATTTCTGATCACCAATTTCTGAGTGGGTAGTTTCTTGTCCTCATTCGATAGAATGGAAGACATACTAGTGAAATAACCAAGAATTTGGCTAATTGGAACAATAGAATTAGCCTAAAATCTGACTTAAAGTGAATGAAATTGCCTATGCATCACTATCACTGACACGGCAAAATCTGCAAAAGTGTAATTTTGTAGTTTTCCATAAAATTTTGTACTTTTTGTTTTATTACCTCAGAAAAAAATTCTCAACCTTTTTTTTTTTTAATTTTGTGACAGCAGGTTTGAGAACATGGGGTTGCGATCCCTGAAAGGGTTAAGTGAGCAATACAGCTAGACCTAAAAATACATATACAGTGGACCCCCGGTTAACGATTTTAATCCGTGCAAGAGGGGTAATTGTTATGCGAAATAATCGTTATGTGAATGAATTTTCCCCATAAGAAATAATGGAAATAAAATTAATCCGTGCAAGACACCCAAAAGTATGAAAAAAAAAAATTTTACTACATGAAATATACATTTTCCCACACACAAAGAGAAGGATACATGCACAATAGTAGAGTAGTACATGCACAGTATATATTGTGCATGTACTAGTCTACTAAATGAAGAATAAATGACACTTACCTTTATTGAAGATGCAGCAATGACTGATGAGACACTGTGTCCTGGGAGTGCCTTTTCCTCCTGAGTACTGTAGGTCCTGTTTGGCATTTTTCTTCCAGAACAGGCCTTATCACACTGTGTATGCCACTACGATTCTTAAATCTCTCAAACCAACCTTTGCTGGCTTTAAATTCACCAATATGAGCACTAGTTCCAGGCATTTTTCCCTGTTCACCTGGGTGTTAGTCGACTTGTGTGGGTTGCATCCTGGGAGACAAGATTAAGGACCCCAATGGAAATAAGTTAGACAGTCTTCGATGACACTGACATTTTTGGGTTATCCTGGGTGGCAAATCCTCTGGGGTTAATTGTTTCTTGGTATTCTCAATAAGCCACACCAACAACGGTGCTACAGCAGCAGCAGCAGCTGACAGTGCAGCAGCAGCAGCAGCTGACAGTGCAGCAGCAGCAGCAGCTGTACCACCAATAGTAGCGATGGTTGATTGGGGTTTATTATACAACCTGGCCAGCTCGGAGACATGCACTCCACTTTCATACTTATTAATGATCTTTTTCTTCATCTCTATTGTAATTCTCACCCTTATTGCTGTAGGGTTGGCACTAGAAGCTTTCTTGGGGCCCATGGTCACTTATTTTCCAGAAAAAGCACCGAAAACACTGTAATAATACGAAATATTCCGATTGTATGCTTGGATGTTACCGCGGAGGCTGGCTGGTAAACAATGCCACCGGCGGAACATGTGAGCGTGGCTCAGGCCGCACATTGGACGCGTCTCGGACGAAAATCGGTAAGCGGGTTTTTAAGCGGTATGTGAGGCAAAATTTTTGCGATTAAAGTAAGCGGTATGCGAAATAATCGCTATGTGATGCCATCGTTATGCGGGGGTCCACTGTACAGTGGATATGTTATTTGCCTTCAAATAGTTTTGCCTTTAGCTTATAGTGAGTGGTGAATATATTTATTGTAATAAGTGTAAACAAGTGAAAAATGGGTATAAATTGAATACCGCTTTATTAGCGAAACGCTGTAAAGCTGGGCCTGTCTGGACCTGCTTGGTGATGTGGCAAGGAGACACGACAGTTGGATAACTTGCTGGTATGCGGATGGTATTTCCATAGGATGATAACCTGCCATGTGACTCCAATCTTCCTTTCCCTGGGCATAACACAACTGCTGCAACCACTACTATTGCGAAATATATCCACATAATATATCTGGTATAACAATAATCTTTGGAGGTGGGCCTTAGGTTTATTAGGGTGTGTGTGGTACAGGCAGTGTTTGGTTGCTAGCCTACACCATTTTCCTAAATAACAGGTTTTAGTACAATTTCCAGATTGCACAAGTCTTAGCACAAACATTCCAAAGCACACAGGTCTTGGCACGTGTGTTCCAGAGTACGTGCATCTCCTAAAGTACATTTTAGAGCATTCACATCTTAGAGCTCATACATTGCAACGTGTAGGTAAACCAGAGCCCATGTATACATTATTTTTCTGTTATTTCAAAAGAAAATCTAGTTTAAACTTTAATTAATAAAAGGCATGGATCTAAACTTGTCATTTTTCCATACAAGGTTGGTACATGTATGGGGAATTCTATACCCTGAAAGAAAAAGAAAAAAAAAAAACTTTTGTCATTCAACGCTTTCACCATCACTCGTACATAATCGTTGTCTTTGCAGAGGCACCCAGATACGACAGTTCAGATGTCCCTGCAAACTTCCAATATCCCAGACCCCTCTTTTAAAGTGCTGGCATTGTACTTCCCTTTTCCAGGACTCAAGTCCGGCTAACCGGTTTCCCTGAATCCCTTCACAAAATATTACCCTGCCCACACTCCAACGGCTTGTCAGGTCCCAAAAACCATTTGTCTCCGTTCATTCCTATCTAACACGCTCACGCACTCTTGCTGGAAGTCCAAGCTCCTTGCCCACAAAACCTCCTTTACCCCCCCCCCCCCTCGAACCTTTTCGGGGCCGACCCCTACCCCACCTTCCTTCCCCTGTAGATTTATACTCTCTCCAAGTCATTCTACTTTGTTCCATTCTCTCTAAATGACCAAACCATCTCAACAGCCCTTCTTCAGCCCTCTGATTAATACTTTTAGTAATTCCACACTACAAATTCTCTGCATAATATTCACACCACACATTGCCCTTAGTACATCTTCACTGCCTCCAGCTGCCTCCTCGCATTTACAACCCATTCTTCACACCCATATAAGAGTGTTGGTACCACTATACTCTCGTACATTCCCTTCTTTGCCTCTACGTTTGACTTTTTTTTGTCTCCACAGATACCTCGATGCGCCACTTGTCTTTTTTCCTTCATCAATTCTATGGTTAACCTCATATTTCATAAACCCATCCGCTGACAAGTCAACTAACAAATATCTGAAAACATTCACTTCTTTCATACTCTCTCCCTCTAATGTGATTTCCAATTTTTCTTTATCTAAATCATTTGATACCCTCATTACCTTACTCTTATCTATATCTGCTTTCAATGTTCTACCAAAATAAATGCAAAATAGATGCTTCTTTTGTTTAAAGCCATCACAGATTGATCTGTGAACTGCCTTTAGTTCTTTTTTTTATCCATTTTTTTTTTAATTGTCTGTTGCAAGAGGGTCATGGTACCATTGCTTTCAGATTAGTGGTTTGTGGGCTATACTGTAGTAGCATATAGAAACAAAGTTTCTCACAAACTCAAATAAGAATTACAGATTGGTACTTCTATTTATTTACAGTGTAACACTTGACATTTTGTAATGTTTTTGAGTAATTTTGGCTATTTCTCTACACTGGAAAAATACTTAAGAGGAAATGTGGGGTATGATTAATTTGATTAAATTGTTTAGTGGACCTTGCTGAATGTTATGCTATGTGAGCATTTGCTGACTAGTTCCAGCATAACTCAATCCCAAGAGTGTTGCCACATGTTGATAACTTCTGCATTATTGCACCCCTTGTATGTAAGTAGAATTTTCCTTAGAGTAAAAATGGCGAGTTTATTTTGGAAAAAATTAGTAAACTGATTTTAGTTAAATGTATGTAATTTCTGGTACAGCTTGACAGTCAAAAATATTGGTGGATATTATATGGTTTATTTAGAAGTTCCACAGTTGGGACTGAATATACAGTGACTATATACTCCAGGTATATGGTTGACCAATATTTATATTTTGGCCACTTGTGGCTCATAGGGGATGGAAGACTTTGTGATTTGCAAAACTTAGAAGGCAGCATAGCTTTATTCTTAAATTCAGAAAGCTGTGGGTCTCCACCACAGCCAGAATTGAGCAAGTTAAAATCATTCTTTTTTATTAGCATTATATATTATGCTAATAATTTTTTTTTCTTTCTTTCAACACACCGGCCGTATCCCACCGAGGCAGGGTGGCCCATAAGGAAAAACGAAAGTTTCTTCTTTTACATTTAGTAATATATACAGGAGAAGGGGTTACTAGCCCCTTGCTCCTGGCATTTTAGTCGCCTCTTACAACACACATGGCTTACGGAGGAAGAATTCTGTTCCACTTCCCCATGGAGGTAAGAGGAAATAAACAAGAACAAGAACTAGTAAGAAAATATTAGAAAACCCAGAGAGGGGTGTATATATATATGCTTGTACACATTTGTGTAGTGTGACCTAAGTGGAAGTAGAAGTAGCAAGACATGCTTGAAATCTTGCATGTTTATGAGACAGAAAAATGGACACCAGCAATCCTACCATCATGTAAAACAATTACAGGCTTTCGTTTTACACTAACTTGGCAGGACGGTAGTACCTCCCTGGGCGGTTGCTGTCTACCAACCTACTACCTAGGAATAATTTTTTTTTATTAACATTATATACTTGGGCTACTGTTTGCTTATATAGAGCTGCTAGATCAGCAAGTCTATTCTTGAAGTGATTATCACTTATTCATCTGCAGCATTTCATTTCCACAAATTATTGTGCTAATTTACCATGATGTAATTTAGGGAATTTAGCCAGTTAACTTTAAACAAAAGTGATTCAGGAACGCTAACAATTTTTCTGCAATTTTTGGTAAGTTGCAAACCATCGAATCATACATAGGAAGGTGCAATCCTTTATGTATGCCGGTACCATAGCAAAGCACTTGATGTAATTCTTGTGTCCTCTGCTTTCTGAGTTTTACATGGCTTAGATTTATCAGCATGAAGTATCTAGATTGGCATGTTTAACTCTTAATTTTTATTCAGTTAACTTTTTTTGTTAAAAAAATATGCTTTCATAAATATATTGGGAATCAATTTAATACAGAAAATTGGCATGCTGAGTAAAGAAAGAATGTACATTGCAGAGTACACTTATTATATTCTTCCCTGCTATCCTAAAATAGCAGCATTGCACATTCCATTACTTTGAGCAATTTTAGCACAGGCTTGGTAAAATCAGTAATTTATGTTTTCAGATTGGGGAAATGATGAATAATATAATTTGCACTTCATTATAGCTAACAATGACCATCTAATTTTTTTAGGCACAACAGAACGTGTTTGTCTTATAACGGGCAATGTGGATGCAATATGCACTGTGCTGTCATTCATTATGGAGAAAATCAAAGAGAAGCCTGACCCAAATGCCAAGCCAGCAATTGATTTTGACAATAAGATGACTGCAGAAAGAGAGAAACAGGTGAATACAGTTGCATTATGTATTTTTGTGTTGTGTGAAGCTTTGATATTTTCATGAGTATGAATTTAGGACTCCATTATATGTGTGAGATATTACATACTTTGTTGGTTATTTACCCGTAGGATTGGAGCTATGTTCGTGGTGTCCCATTTTCAATGTTTAGTGTGTCATAATTTGTGCATTTTCCAGAAGTTGTAAAATACTTCCTCTTGGAGCCTCTTCCAGCAGTCTACAGCTATTTCTGAAGAAATTGTTTGTCTTTTGAGCACCACTACTTAATTTACAGTTGTGGCCTATTCCTGCTAGTGTTGCTACAAAAAGCTTTGTTGTCTGGTATTATTGTGTTTTTAAATGCGATTGTCTTTTTCTTTTGTCTATTAATAATCACATTTCATTGCTTCTATTGTTCATAATTTACTTGTGTAAGTTCTGATGGACATTTCATAGCATGTCAGTGTACCTTTCTATTTACAGTATTCGTTTATTTATGACCCCAATACTATAGCTTCGTATTGCAATTTTTCTTTAATGTATACTGCTTATACAGCAGGTTAGGTTCCAGGCTACTGCTGAAAAGTGAAAATTGCTGTTAAGTGAAACATAGCCTTTTTTCAATTTCAAATGCATATAAAAGCCTGATAACATGTTTACACTATTATGTATTAAGTGAACAGTAGAACTAGGCTTAAAAAATACTTTTTTTTTTTCAACAAGCATGTACAGTACACACATCACTTACCTTAAAATATTTTCATACAGTGAGTGGTGAATGTATTTATTGTAGGTAGCCTGAATAAATAAAAAATGGGTTTAATTGAAATCTGCTGTATTAGCGAAACACTGTAAAACGAGGCTCTCCTGTATTGTACGTTATATTCCGTAAAGAAAATATTCTTTACTAAATTTGTTTAAATGCTGTAATGCAAAAGTCTTTTAATGATTCCCAAATGACTTTAAAAATGAACAGCTCTCGCTGTATGTATATTAGACTGTTGATTAAGATGCGATCTAGGATGTTTTTGCTGTATGCTGGTTTTTCTATTATGAGGCCATGATGTTTGATTATGGTGTAAATATAGGGAAAAATAACTAAAAGCCAGTACAAAAAGGTTAGTAACTGGTAATTTTATTGTAACTACACATTGCTGTGCCTTTAGCATTCATTCCCTTATACAGATGTTCAGTATGTTAGTGATTGATAATAGAGTGAAAAGTACAGTAATTAATAGAGGAAGTGAAGGGTTAACCATGATAAATGCATGTTTGGCATTCATAGGGCCACCATAGGATACACTATTTATTCTTATCTTTTTTCTTTTTAACATGTCGGCCATTTCCCACTGAGGCAGGGTAACCAGAAAAAGGAAGAAAAACCCCAAAAGAAAGAAAAAACTTTCATCATTCAACATTTTCACCATCACTCATACATAATCACTGTCTGTAGAGGTGCTCAGATACAACATAGTCCATATATTTTCTGTGTTCTTCAATCCAAGTCTTGGGTCCCTTACATGCTCAATGACTGTTGTAAACTTGGGTTCATCACTAAGTGCCTTTCCCATAAATGGAATTCACCACGGAAATTGTAGGAAAACTAACAAATGTGACTAAATTAGTTGCTTTTTATATGCCAGTCAATACATGCAGTGTTTTCATAACCTTTACATCAACAGGGCTAAAATGTGAGGAGACTGGAGATAATGTGTATGTACAGTACAAATTGAGAGGGAATCCAAGATTTACATATATTTTGCTTCCTTCCATCTGCATAATCAGGGTTATAATGACAGGAAATTATAAAGTGAATACAGTGCCTTGTGTATATTGTATATACTGTGCATCAAATTATTTGTTAGAATTTTTTTTCTTTCTTTCTTTCAACACACCGGCCGTATCCCACCGAGGCGGGGTGGCCCAAAAGGAAAAACGAAAGTTTCTCCTTTTACATTTAGTAATATATACAGGAGAAGAGGTTACTAGCCCCTTGCTCCCGGCATTTTAGTCGCCTCTTACAACACGCATGGCTTACGGAGGAAGAATTCTGTTCCACTTCCCCATGGAGATAAGAGGAAATAAACAAGAATAAGAACTAGAAAGAAAATAGAAGAAAACCCAGAGGGGTGTGTATATATGTGCTTGTACATGTATGTGTAGTGTGACCTAAGTGTAAGTAGAAGTAGCAAGACGTACCTGAAATCTTGCATGTTCATGAGACAGAAAAAAGGACACCAGCAATCCTACCATCATGTAAAACAATTACAGGCTTTCGTTTTACACTCACTTGGCAGGACGGTAGTACCTCCCTGGGCGGTTGCTGTCTACAAACCTACTACCTATAAGAATTTTTTTTGTGATAACTAAATGACTTGCACATTCTCAGTTGACAGGTTCTGCACCTGTATGAGAGATACTACCACCACCACTATTGTATTATCATTTGCTTCTGTGCACTTATATAATTAAGGTTAAAAAATGAAAGGAACCTGAATATAATGTGTACACAATCCTACTTCATATACATTTGTGCATCATTTTAGTTAGTACAATCTTGGGAATTGGTGGTGGTGGAGTTTATTCTTTCAATGGCCATCACAGAATTACATCAACAAGGCCAGGATCCCTTGTATAGTTCTACATCATGAGCTTAGGTCACTGATAAGCTGCGAGTTGTAAATTTTGGCCTAATTGTGAGAGAGTGGGCCTGCATGGCGAGTACACACTTGTGTCCATTTTTACCTAACATAAAATAATCTTTTTATGAGGATAGTGAGGCTCAGGTTAGGGTGTGTAGAAGAGAGGGAGACTACTTCCCAGTAAAAGTAGGCCTTAGACAGGGATGTGTAATGTTACCATGGTTTAATATATTTATAGATGGGGTTGTAAAAGAAGTAAATGCTAGGGTGTTTGGGAGAGGGTTGGGATTAAATTATGGGGAATCAAATACAAAATATCAAATTGGGGAGGAGGAGTATGGAAGAAGTGAATGTTTTCAGATACTTGGGAGTTGATGTGTCGGCGGATGGATTTATGAAGGATAAGGTTAATCATAGAATTGATGAAGGAAAAAAGGTCGAGTGGTGCGTTGAGGTATATGTGGAGTCAAAAAACGTTATCTATGGAGGCAAAGAAGGGAATGTATGAAAGTATAGTAGTACCAACACACTTATATGGGTGTGAAGCTTGGGTGGTAAGTGCAGCAGCGAGGAGACGGTTGGAGGCAGTGGAGATGTCCTGTCTAAAGGGCGATGTGTGGTGTAAATATTATGCAGAAAATTCGGAGTGTGGAAATTAGGAAAAGGTGTGGAGTTAATAAAAGTATTAGTCAGAGGGCTGAAGAGGGGTTGTTGAGATGGTTTGGTCATTTAGAGAGAATGGATCAAAGTAGAATGACCTGGAGAGCGTATAAATCTGTAGGGGAAGGAAGGCGGGGTAGGGGTCGTCCTCGAAAAGGTTGTAGGGAGGGGGTAAAGGCGGTTTTGTGGGTGAGGGGCTTGAACTTCCAGTAAGCGTACGTGAGCATGTTAGATAGGAATGAATGGAGATGAATGGTATTTGGGACCTGACGATCTGTTGGAGTGTGAGCAGGGTAATATTTAGTGAAGGGATTCAGGAAACCGGTTATTTTTATATAGTCGGACTTGAGTCCTGGAAATGGGAAGTACAATGTCTGCACTCTAAAGGAGGTGTTCGGGATATTGGCAGTTTGGAGGGATATGTTGTGTATCTTTATAGGTATATGCTTCTAAGCTGTTGTGTTCTGAGCACCTCTGCAAAAACAGTGATTATGTGTGAGTGAGGTGAAATTGTTGAATGATGATGAAAGTATTTTCTTTTTGGGGTTTTTCTTTCTTTTTTGGGTCACCCTGCCTCGGTGGGAGACGGCAAACTTGCTAAAAAAAAAAAAAAAATCTTGTCCCACGCATTTCATGATAGGAAAAGCAAAAAACTGACCATGTATTTGATTTAAAGTAGCGACATTGGGGTGTTTTCTAGAATGATTTTTATGGTTTTTATTGACTTTTTTGGTGTCATTTGATAGAATGGAAGATATACAGTGGTACCTCAATTTTCAAACTTAATGCATTTCAGGAGGCTGTTGGAGTAGTGAGTAGTATGAATATTGACTCAATTTTTCCCATAAGAAATAATGCAAATTGGATTAATTCATTCCAGACCCCAAAAAATTACCAGTTATAGAACATTTTAAGTGAAAATATTGCTTACTTAAACCTATATAATAATACAGTAGTACCTTGATTTACGAGTTTTCCCGAGTTAACGAGCCGTCGCTCAGTCGATTTTTTGTTTTGAGTTACGAGCCGAAGTCTGAGTTATGAGCAAATGAAAAAAAAATATTTACTGAAAATGACACTTGGCAAGAACCCCAGCCTAAATGGCACAACAAAAGGTGGTCTTGGGACTTGGTACTTATAAAACAATGCTAGTGCGAGGTTTTCACTGGAGGTAATCGTGTAATTATCTTCAGTTATTCTACAAGAAAATAAAGTTGCTAAGTTTTTGACATTTGCAAAATATCTTGCCCTTTACTCCCATAAATATCCCAAAATATTTTGGAATATTTCCAATATTCCTCAAGTCAGTTGTAGAACAATCATTTTTTTTTTATTCCTTTCAATATTATTGCATTTACTTCAATAATAAATGGTGGGCTTCATGAGAAAATTGCTTTTGTTTCAGTGTTTTCCTTTGAAATTAGTGATCTAGCGCAGTTAGCCTCTCAAAAGAACTGTTTTCTCTTACCCAGGACCAAAGAACATTATAGGAAGGAGCAGTAATGATTTTACATCCTCAGACTGGTCCTGGACACTCACCACATTATGGCCTATTTTATTCATTCTAGAGTATGTATCGTGTTTCTATCTTATAGGCTTTATTATGTCATATTAGATCAATTTTGATAGATAAATAAGCCCTAGAGTTGATATTAGCATTATATTGAAGTATTTTCTTCTGCTCCTGGGGTGGTTCTTTGGGGGCTG